TTTTCGGCGTACAAAGTTCGGACTTCTAGACAACTCAAAATTCTGAGTTAGAAAACGTATTTTCCACTGAAACTTCGAAAGCAATTATTTTTTCAAGGGGTTCAAGAATGAAAAATGGGGTCTAGATTGGTGGTCCCGACTATATGGAGAATAAAGAAGTTTTAAGAGTTCTTATTATGATATTCGTAATTAGCACACTTGGTTGTATAGGCACATCTAGTTTTGATTGGTGAAAAGAGAAATTTTTTTTCGACGATACCTGTGGGGGACTCCAGGTATGAAAATAGTCCATGTCGATTTTCGAGAAATAAAGTTGAAAAAAATGATCAGAGATGGTGACGCTTTCGACAACTTGGAAACACTCACGCTCACAAGCGCTCATGCTTCTCCCACTCATGAGCGTGAGCGGTACAGCCCTACTCTAGAAGTTCAAAAGAACTAATATGGCTTGAATAGTGCGGTTCTACGACTGAATTTAATAGCACGAAGATTTTTCACATTTTAAAATTTGTTTTTTGAAAGAAATAATGTAGAACACGAAGAACCGATCAATCCTTCATTTATTTATTAAATGTATTTGTCTGACGAGGGAACGTTTTTCAATTTATCAATCATTTTCTCGTCGAAAGCTAGTGTATTGCAGATTATCGGGCATGGTCATTTCAAATATGACCATAAGAAATCTTCTTAGATTCTCACATGTTAGTTTTCTAGAAACCCTGTTTTCCAGACTAACAAAATATTTCGCCACAAATTCTTTTTGATCTGACTAGATTATAGAGCATATCCAATCACCTAGTAAACGGTAACTTTTTAGTTGCTAATGATTTAGTATTGCAAAAAAATACAGACATTTTAATTCATACAAACAGACACATATCAACATTTCAGTGTGAAAAACTTCCAAATGATATTGTTTGACTTCCAAATGATCTTTGAAAAACAGAAAGGATTATTATCTCATAAACAACTAGATAAGCTCTCTAATCTGAGTAGATCCAAACGATTTTAGCAAAAATATTTTTTAGTTCAGAAAACCACTATATAAAATCCTCAGGAGAGTTGATTTTTTATGGTCATACTCAGAGACAGTATAGTCGATAACCATCACCAGTAGTGTTTGATGAGAAAACGATTGATCTGTTGAAAACATTTCTTCGTAAGAGGAATTTAATATCAGGTCGATCGGTCTGACATCCATACTGACACGTAACTGAAGAGCTGTTTTACTAATCCATATATGAATAATGATATTTAACATTGTCAAACTCCAACAAAATACTATTAGACATTCCTATAAGATATTACCAACAAAAAGATTAATAAGACACACCAGTATCAGTCCCATCGCTGCTTAATATTATATTTATACTCTAGTTTTGGATTATGATTCATTGGAATCCATCGTTGCAATCGTATATTATGAATATAATTTAATTCATAAGAAATGATAATCTAAACTTGATCTATTCAAAATGAACCTTTATTACACAAATAATATTCAAAAAGAAAAAAAAAGCGTGAAAGGATTGACTAGAATAAATACGTAATGATTAAATAACAATAACATCAAATCTATCTAAGTTCATTTCCAGTTCCTAGTACATCATGTATATAACCAAAAACACATAGTTGATCATCGAGTATTTGTTTATTAATAATACTTATTGATTCATTATTCGATTGTTGTTGATGATGATATAATAACATAAGTTCATAAAGATGCCAAAGAGATGGATTTGTATATAGTTGTAATTCTTTAGCTTGTTGTGGTAAACATGTTGTTGGTTGTAATTGTAAAGAAAATAAAATTAAAATTTTAACAAATTTTATTGAAAGGTCAAATATTTGTTTTTTTATTGTTGGTTTTATAATATGAAAAAGAAAACGTGATAAACATTGACCATATGATATAAATAATGTTAACCAACATAAACCTGGACATTGACCATTATCAAGTTCCATTTTATGAAAATTTTCATTATCATAAATAAATAATTGAAGACGATAAATTGATAAAAGAAATTTAATATATTCATCTAAATTATGACTTTTATCAAGATAAATAAGTGAATCAAGATGTGTTATAAGTATTGAACAAAGACAACGTTGAGATGATCTTTCATCTGTTATCGGTACAGAACATAACCAATTAGGTTCATCAGGTGATGCATCAAGTAATGATAAAATAATCACAGTTAAATATTGATATGGATTTATATGTTGTTGTTCATCAAGTAGAGATATAAGAAAAGCACAAAAAGCTTTACGTCGTTCGGATTCATGTGATGGACGAGTTTTAAAATGAAATGTATAAAGTGTAAGAATACGGTTGAACAGAGCAAATGGATATTTATTTGTTGTTGAATGAGATAGATAATATTTAAGTATTGTTAAACATTGACCTTTAGCTGTATAATAAGTTGTATGATAATCAGCTGGTGGTGGAAATGGTATTTGACTACTATCAGCAGTGGATCGTTGTGATGATCCATCATCCATCGGTTCAATTTCCTAGAAAAATTAGATGTTAATTGTTGCCATATCGTAGAATCATAATCATATGACATATATGAGTAGACGAATCTCTTATTAATCTAAATCGAACGAGAAAAATCTTTCAATGTTTAATTGCTGTTTGAATCGGTACAATATATATCATCTGGATCTTAATGAACTATGAATATTTCGAGAAAATTTTGGATTCTTATCTTATTCTTGTGAAAACTCTACAGCAATAAGGTATTTCATAACTTTATACGGTGACCTTCCCCAGAAACACAACGATTATTGGTGTTCAAATTTCGACTTGGAACTTTTGCACATCAGTAGGTCTTAACGGAGATAGTCTATGGTGGAAGTTTTAGGTCTTTTGATTTGCTCCTATCCTATACTAAGTATATTGAAATGGATAGCATATACGAGTGGTATAAAAGATATGCTTTTATCATGCGAGCATCTTAGGATAGAAAGAACGAAACGATTTAAAACTTAATCAATAAAGTATTCTTGTTAATGTTTGTCTTTGCTCAGAGTTTCAAATCGCACTTTGAAAATCAGTTTTCTTGATATTTTTGAGAGAAACCGTGGTATTTGCTTGGAAAATACCGTAGAAATAAAATATCTCCACAGCAATAAATTAAAGATCGATACTCTTTTTAAGGTATTCATAGTTTGTTAGAGTATACATGATGTACATAGCTCTCCTCACACCTGGTTAAATAATTGGAGGATATTTCTGGTAAGTTGAAGTAAAACTTTACGAAGATCGATAAGTTTACAATGCCTTGCTGCTATTGATATTTCGATGCTAGCTTTTGATGAAAGGAACAAGATGAAGTAGAAAGAGTCTATCCTACATTCCTCGTTTCGCCTATAACCTATGTATTCACAATTTGAGCAGCAATATGATTATATGACTTTGACATAGTTTCAAATCAAGAAAAGAATCTTTTTCAAAAAAATTATCCAAACTTGAAAATTCAAACATATTTAAAAAAAATACTATCCATATTAGAAATCTGCATGTATCAAATTAAAGAATAAAACGATGTATTTATGAGAATGTAGTGAACTATCTTTGAAGAGAACGTTTCAACTCCTCACGTGACGAGTTGAACAAACAGCAAAAATCAGACCTTTCGTAACACCAAAAATAGGGATATCCAAAAATACAGGGATGCCGTAACGAAATTTACAGGGCGATCGTAACAATTAATACAGGGAGTTCGTAACAGTTGCAGAGCTTTCGCGACAAAGCAACACGGATTTTATAATGAGGATGAGGGTGATAGCTGGTCTTAGTTTGCAGAAATTACATGCTTTTCGTTACGAAGGCTCTGTAATGGTACATATTAAAACACCAATTACGATCACCCTGTAAAATTTGTTACGAAACCCCTGATTTTTTTGTTACGAAAGCCCTGATTCTGTAGTTACAAAAGCTCTGTCACGGGCTTTCGTACTGTCAATTCGTTACGAAAGCCAGACAAGAAAAAACGTGATGAGTTGAAACATTCCCTCTTTGAATAGATGTGTAAATTCTCATAGTCATTGTAAACAATCGATTCAATTCATTTTCGCTGAAATAATATTATTTTTTTTATTATCTAAACATACATGTTGTTTTTTAATCGTAGATGTATTTTCTTGTTTATTTATTGATTCTGTTGATTTAACTGTATTTAAAAGAAAATGTGAACAGGCATCAAGTATTAATATTAATTGTTCATATGTTAAAATTTGTTGTTGTTGATCATTATTATTTGTTGTTATTCGATTTTTTTGATTATTAAATAACTGTAATATATTATAAATCATTTGATAAAATGCAGTCATTGTTATTAAATCAATTCCAATAGTTAAATCTTGTTGTTGTAATTTCATTAATGTAGAATTTTGTTGATGAAAAAATATTAAATCAACTAATGTTTGCCAAATATGTTGAGTTATTGATTGTGGCCGAATTCGATCAAGTATTATTTGTAAACTTGATATAGCCATTACTGATGAATCAATTGTACGTGTACGTAATAATTCATAGGCTGAAAACTGTGTTAACTGAGTTTGAAGAAGACGATAATGATGTGATGTTGAACTTGTGAACTGTTGTTGTTGTTGTTGCTGTTGAGAATTTATTTGTGGTTTATCAGTACGAAGACGTGTTACTTCACGCAAAAGACGATTACTTGTTTCTTGACTTTCATGAAAACGCATTTCAAGGGCATGATAACGTGTTTGTAATTCACTACGTTCACGTTCATTAAACGTTAATTGAGATTTACATGTTTCAAGTTGCATTTTAAGACGTTGTTCACGAGCACTTGCTGCTTCATCTTGTTCCGTTTTTAAAAGACATTTTTCTCGAGTACTCAAAAAGAAAGAAACATAATGATTTTTATAGAATTTTATCTTGATATCATGTATTGGACTTACAGTCGAGCATTTTTTTCGCTTAAGAGTCGATTATTTTTTTCAAGAATAATTATTTGACCTTCTTTCATTAATAATTTTCGTTCAAGTTCAAGTTCTTTATTTATATTTTGTGTCCGATTTCCTTCGGATGGTATTGGTTGAAGAATTGTTTGAGTTGAAAATATTGGTGCTTGTAAATGAGATCGAGAAGGATTTTGACTAGCAGGTTGTGCTTGATAATAATCATAATTTGTTTGTTGTTCAACTTGTGTGGCAGAAAATAGTAATTCATCATCAGTCATTTCAAAATCGTCCAACATCGATGAAGCAGATGCTACTGCTCCTCTTCCTCCTCCTCCAATATCAGATTCTTCATGATTTTCATCAGTTCGAAGACGTTTTATAGGTGGAAACATAATACTTTCGCTATATTTTAAAATAAAATGAAAGTTCTGCAAATGAACAATTGATTGTTAACGAATCAAAATTATCGGTGGGCTCTGTCTGATTGAATCGATCTAAATGATATTTATTTCAAGTTCAAATTATTAAATACCTATCGAAGAAAATTTAATTTGAAATTAATATTAGAAATAATTTACAATATTTGAAATTTATGTGTACATATATATGATGTTTAAGCCATATTCATCCGGCATCTATTGACGAATACATTATCAATTTAGCGGGATTATGGCCTTTTACTATCTACGTTGTTTTCACGTTCTTTTCTATATTTGTTTATAATAATAATCATAAGATTATAGTCATTTTTCTCTTTATTGTTGCCATTTAAACAGATTGCACTTATCATTGTTTCGAGTACCATTTTCAAATCAAGCTTCAGTATGTCCTTGAGTAATAATCTAAGCTAGCATTCTCTCCTTGACATTTTGTCTGTTTAACAAAATAATCTATTGGAATTTCTTTATCTTCTATAATTATTCATACATAAGTACAACACAACTCTCTCATAAATTCTCTTTTCAAGCAAAATAACAACACTTTTTTAGTATAATAAATGGGTGCAAGTGATGCAGCTCCACCGGAGGTTAGTAAAGAGTTGATTTGAATAATTAATATTTCTTTAATATGAGAATTTCATTATGATAAATAGCGTAAACAATGGACGAATCCTGTTGAATTCTTTTTAACATTAGTCGCATTTGGTAAATACGAACATTTTAGTCGTAGATGTAAATTTAGACTTCAAATTTTTATATTTTATTTTAGCTGTTGGTTTAGGAAATGTTTGGCGTTTTCCATATCTTTGCTTTAAAAATGGAGGAGGTTGAATATAATCATATTTAACTTTATTTATATATATATACATATGTCATATTCTAGGTGCATTTCTTATCCCATATACATTTATGCTTATTTTTATCGGTGCACCTGTCTTCTATCTTGAATTAACATTGGGACAATTTACTAGTGCTGGCCCACTTGTGGTATGGAAAGTCAATCCATTATTACGAGGTTTGTTAAGTATTCTTAAAAATTCCATAGAGAAAAAGCGCAATAACTAAATTTCATCGATGATATTCAGTCTGAAAATATAGCGATAAATGTTTTGTTTAGTATTAAGTATATTGGTATTTGGTTCTTCTCTAATTAGAAAAACTTCTATTATGGCAAAGCGCAAAAAATAGTGAGATAAATGATTCTTCTATTCAATATGCCACTATCCTTGCCGGAAAGGGATCATACAATATGATGAGAATTCGGAGTGTAAGGAGAGAACAAGCAATCGAATATGTTTGAAGAGAAAGATGAATTAGAAATAAAACATGATCGTACTCAATTCTAGCCTCATACTTTAAAACGATCACTTTCTATAGTTATCAGTATGACATTCTTTGGTAGTAATTTGTTTTTTATCAAGTGACGATGTTGTAGCCACAGAGAGAGAAATATTTGTTTTCTGTTTATCATTTCTATTGAAATATCATTATTTCATATTCTTTTAGGTATTGGTTATGCATCATTAGCAACAAATTGTTTTTTAGCACTTTACTATAATGTATTGATTGCTTATTGTTTCTATTATTTAATTGCATCGTTTCAATTTGTTGTTCCATGGTCAACATGTGGTAACTGGTGGAATACACCTTTATGTACCGATCAAAAAGCATTAGCAAATATGTCTCGAGCTGATCTTGAACTAATGAAAAGTAATAAATTGTGTTTTTCTTTAGTTTTGTTTGATTTTATTAATCATTTTAAACAACTATTTTTAGATATGACAAGTTCACCAAGTGAAGAATACTTCTAGTAATATTTTGTTTCTTCGTCTTAATATTTTTATGTCTATGTTTTTTAATTTAAGTCGTGGAGTACTTCAGATTAGCAATGGAGTAGAAAATCTTGATGGTATTGTTACTCATTTAGCTGTTGCTTTAGCAGTTGCTTGGTTGATTTGTTTCTTGGCATTATCGAAAGGTGTTCAATCGTTAGGAAAAGTAAACCAAAACTTTTTTTTCACTGTTAGAAGACATTTGTTAATTAAAAAATAGATTGCATATTTTACGGCTTTATTTCCTTATGTAATGTTAACTGTTTTAATTATTCGTGGAGCAACATTAAGCGGTGCTATTGAAGGTGTTAAATTTTATATGGGAACAGTAAATCTTAGTGTACTTAAAAATCCATCTGTAAGCTTTTGAATTTTGTTTTTAAGGAGAGTTTTTTTCTTCTTGCCATGAAATTTAGGTATGGAAAGAGGCATGCACACAAGTTTTTTATGCTTTAAGTTGTTGTAGTGGTGGTTTGATTGCTATGGCATCATTCAATGATTTTAGTAATAATGTTTATCGGTAAACAATTTTCTTATATGAACCGAAAAATTAATCGATTTTGTTGTTTTCTTTCTATTTAGTGATACAATATCTATTTGTCTGGTTACATGGTGCACAAGTATTTTTGGTGGTTTTGCAATTTTTACTGTACTTGGTATGATATTAATTGTAGAAGATTAATAAATTTATTTATTTATTTTTAAGGTCATATGGCAACTAAAATGGGTGTAAGTGTTGCTGATGTGGCTAAAGGAGGTCTAGTAGAAATTCTGTGATGTTTATTTTTAATTTCTTTTGATTCTTAAGGTCCTGGTCTGGCATTTGTTGTGTTTCCTGAAGGTTTATCAATGATGCCATTTGCTCCTTTATGGTGTGTTTTATTTTTTCTAATGATGTGTACACTTGGTTTTGGTTCTGAAGTTAGTTAATAGAATTGTGTTTTTGTTTAGAAAAACTTCGAAAATCTTTTATTTAGTTTTCGATTATGGAAACTGTTATGGCTAGTATAATAGATGAATTTAAAACATATTTAAATACACCGAAAAAAATAATCATCTTTCGATTTACTATATCACTTGTGTTTTTTCTTCTTGGTTTATCTATGGTTACACGAGTATGTTTATTTATTTATCGCAAAAGCAAAATTAGATATTTTATTCATATGTATTAGGGAGGTTTATATATATTGAATATAATTGATCAATATCTAGGTGGATTTCCTTGGCTAATTATTGGTGTTCTTGAGTTATTTTGTATTGCATGGATTTATGGTAAAGAAAAATAAAATCTATTTTGTTTTTTGATTTATATTGATAAATTATTTTTAGGTGTTGATAATTTTTGTGATGATATTGCAATAATGTTAGGTGAAAAACGACGTCCAAGTAGATTTTGGAAAATCTGCTGGCAATATATCTCACCACTAATTCTTCTTGTAATAATTATTTTTTTGCATCTGTTCATGCATAAAATTCTTCATACATATGTTTATGCTTATATTTGTTTTTCTTTACAGTTTACCATTGTCTTTTCTTCGCTATTCTATCAAGATGTAACACTTGATGATTATATATATCCATCATGGGCCCTTGCACTTGGTTGGATTGTAGTAATAGCATGTCTTGGCTGGCTTCCGTATATTTTTCTAGTTGAAATATGTGGCCGTGGCACATGGGGTGTATGTTAAGAGTGTTTTCAGTTTCTTATGCTCGAAATGTTTTCATTTTTTTAAGATTATTAAAGAAGCTCGTTTGCCACATGATGAATGGGGCCCAGCTCGAGAGGAACACCGTCAATTATCAATGCGTTATGCGAATAAGAATGATCCAAAACAACTTAGTATGCAAACTTTATCGACAATCGATACAGGCGATACATTTGATTTGGATGCAGAAGCAATTGAAGTTATAACAGCAAGTCCAAAATTATATGTCAAACGACTTTCAGACGTGTCTACTACACGATTTTAATAATAAAGAAAAATACAAATAGTTCTTTCAATCATGAATGTAGATTATTTTTTTTTTAAATAAAAAAATCAGGAGTAACAATTAGCAGAAAAAAAGAAGATCAAGGGGAACAAGAAAAAAAATAATATGTATGAATGCCACACGATTAATGTTTTTCTTTGCTACTTCAACCAAGACATGCTGCTTGAGTAGCGTAGAATTCGTCCAAACTAGCACAAAAACGTTCTGCAATAAGAAAAAACGGGAATAAAAAAAGAAGTCAATAGTTAGAATATGAAAAACAAAGTTTTGCTCTTAAAAAAAAATGAAACAACATTGAGATTCTCTTTCTCTCCACTAATAAAATGAATTTCTCACAGATACTTCAAAGTGTAATCAGGATAGGTTAAGCACAGCAATATATTAGTAAAAAAAAAAAAAAAAACAAATTTACGACATACACATTTACGTGAACAATATTGCACAGAAAACCGTTTGTTTGAGGAAGGTATTGCAATAAATATGAATGTAAGTGTAGTGGGGAAGTGACAGCATGATTTATTATTGAACATCACCATTTCTTTGCATGTCATTGATAAGTTATGATGAATAAAATGTGTTTGATTTTATAAATATGCATTATTATTAGTTAGGACTATAGGATAAAGTATGTATGTGAACACATACAAAGATTAAAGACAAGAAAAAAGAAACACAATTAAAAAGACAAAAAAACAAAACCGGTGATATATGTATGTAAATGCCTAGTGCTAGTGATGTTGGTAGCATTGGTACTGATGCGACCTCAGCCGCATGCTGCCCAATTGGAATTCATTAGATCTTCATAGGAGTTACAGTAGGTCTTGAAACGTTCTAGAATAACATACATGGATAGATGTTATCTTGATTAGTATTTGAAAATTAAAGAAGTAGTATTATTCAGTAATGATAAATTTTAGATAAACAAACAAATTGATTTTTTATTTTATTAGTATTCTGTTAATAACACTCGTCCCTCAGAGCTTTTTTCTTATATAGCAAAGACAGTTTCTATTATTGTCAAAATGTGCAAATAGACGTGTTTGATTAGTACCATGCCTTTTTAACCAAGCATTGTATGAATCAACATTACTTCATCAGTCAATATGTGCCATATTAGTAATAAGAATCAAAAAACAAAAAAAGCATAAGCAAAAAAAAGCATTTAAATACTGTTTATGTCTATGTTGTCATTGTCAATTTACTCGGTAGATTATACATTTTGTTTTTTTTTATAGCCGTATATTAAAATGTGCAACTAATCAGCATAAAATATATAGCAAAAAAAAGAAATATTAATAATTTAAAAGGAGATATTGTTTTGGTTGAAAACCATGTGATGATTCATGCATAGATTAGATGAAGAAAATATGTTCACTTGTTAATAGCACGACGACGACAAAGAGTTCCATGCAAAACATCTTGAATACTACAATAGGTGAAGCGTTCTAAATAATAGAGTGTGTTGAAAAATGTTACTAGGTGAGTTAGTCAATAAGGAGTAGTGCATCCTATTTGTAGTTTTCAATATATTATATATAAGAGAAGAAGAGACTTTTCATTCAAACAAAAAACTAACTATAATAATAAAATAAAAAGTTACGCTTACTTTTTATTTCTTGAAATCGATTAAGATCTGGATCAGATAATGATTGAAGATATTCACGGATCTAAAGATAATGAAAAAAAAGGAACAAAGAAAAGTTTGAACTAACTTGTTTATACAAAAAAAAAGTATAATATGCTTACTAATTCTTGTTTGACAAAATCTTGTTGTTTTCGTCTGGCAGCGCGTTGTTCAGCATTTGATGTCAATAGAAAATGTCTTAACTTATTTAAATCATATATTCGTTGTTGTTCTTGTACATCAGAATTATCATCATCATCATCATTATCATTATCATTGACAGTCATATCAGTTTGAGGAAGATTCCGTGAGGGAGCTACGGCTCGAGATAATTCCATCATTGACATAAGTACAACGACAATTAAGAGAAAGTCAATACGTGTACAAAATGTTAAAAATTTCGTCATCTTGATTTTTATTGTTGTTAAAGATGTGTGAGGCAAAGCAAAACAGAATGAAATGAATTCGTGGGTTGAAAATGAATCTATAACAAAACTTTTATAAATATATATGTTTGTCTTATGTACACTTGACAACGATGAAACAACTCAGCGCAATATTAAATGAAAAAACGCCTGAAGTATAGACGTAAAAGAAGAAATAAAAGTTTTGCAACACTAATTCATATAGGTAAAATAGAGTTGACTATTTGTTGTATTTATGTATACATATATATATATATCTATTAATATATGTTCGTCGTTTTTTTTTCGAGAGAGAAAGAAAGAGAAAGAAAAAACTAAGAGGAAACTCAGAGAGAAAGAAAACTGTGTCATAAGAAAACAAACATACATTTTTTTCTTTTGTTCATTGAAGCTTGTACGTATTACTTCCATTACC